GGGGGGGGGAGGTCTCCCCAAGACCCCAGCAGTGCCTGGGGGGGGCCCAAGCACCTCCCCAGTTTGCTTCTGTTTCTCTCCAGGAGGGCTGGGAGCTGCCAGGGTTGACATTCCTCTTTGGGCTCCTGACCACTTCCCAGACTTTCAGCTCCTCCAACTCCAGCCCTGTCTTGAAAAGTGGATCCGGAGGCTTCGGGAGGAGGAGGAGGGAGAAGCTGAAGCCAAACCAAGATTTTGTGTGACAGAGCCTCAAACTCCAGAGCACACGGGCCAAGCAGGGTCAGCAGGAGCCAAGGCTGGGACCAACAGCTCCAATTTATTTAGATTATAATGTAGGGAGGGAAAAGCTTGTTTACAACAGCAGGAAGATCTGCCCAAGTCAGTCCCAGGCTCTGGCTGCTCCTGATTGAAAACAGAAACTGGAAAGGGTGGCAAAGCCCCAGGGTGGTTCTAACAATGGGCACAGGGCAGAGCTTCTGCTCAGAGCAGCAACAACAGCCCCAAAATCAGCCCCAAAGCCCCCAAAACAGCCTCCAGCAAGAAGCCCCTGAGGAGGAGGGTGGTGGGGAACCCACTGCCCTTGGCAGAGCTGGTGGCTGCTGGCAATGAACTCCCAGTCCAGGCTCTGATCTCCCCTCCTTACCCAGCCAGCCCAGAGGAAAAGGCTTCTTCTTCATCCCAGACACCCCTTGCAGGGCTTCCCTGGCAGGCAGGCTCAGGGAGTTGCTGCTTCCCTGGCTGGAAGAGCTCCCAGGGGATAGATGGAGAACTCCAGATGGGGAAAACCCAACCCAGTTTGGTTGCAGGAGTCAACATGAGGTTTGACAGGAAAAATCCCTTTGCCAGGAGCCCCCAGAGTCAAGGCAGGACCAACCTCTGGTTGTGTCCTCACACACAGCAAAGGGACATCGTGGGATCATTCCCACTGGGAGAAGTGCCCCTGGTGCCTGCTGGGAGAGAAACAGGGTTGGAAAAGTAACTGGGGAAAAAAAAAACAACAACCCATCAACAGCAACAAGAACCTGAGGTGATGAAGCAGATGCTGACGTGGCTCTTCCCATGTGGGAATTGTTTCAAGCCATGGATGCTGGAAATGAACATACAGGTAAAGAGCCTGAGGTGGGTATTTCCACCCTGGGTGGGCAAAACCCCCCAGCCCCAACAGCCTTGGTGCCCTCAGCACCTTCTTCTCTCTTGCATGTCTGAAATACCCTTAAAGGCCCAAATTTGGCTTTAATAAGCCAGACCCAGGCCCCACACAGGTGTGAGGGCACAAAGCTCTGGGAGCTGGAGGGTTCTCCTCCCTGTGGAGCTGAGCAGGGGACAGGGAATCATCATCTCTTCCCACTGGTGTCTCCTTGTTTATTCCTTCACAAACGTGAAGGTGCAATTGGTGAAATTCCAGCAGCTTTTCAGTCCCTCTGGAAGTTTCCAGGATGAATGTGGGTGGTTTGTTCAGGACACCCTCAGGGTCCCTGATCCCAACACCTTTTTTGGTCCTTCCGAGATAAGGATGAACTCCCAGGAAACACTCTGGAACCTCCTGCCTCCTCACTGGGGCTCCTTGAAGGTCAGGATGAGTTCCTGTTGCTCTTCACTAATTGCCTGGAGGGAAAACAACCAGTGAGCTCAGCCAAGTGCTTGTGTCACAGCCAGGCCTGTCCCCTGCACGGCTGGGCCACGACCCCTCATCTCCCTCACACCCCACCCAGGGAAACACATCCAAGACCTCCAGGGAAAATGCCCAGGGCCAGTTTTTTTGGCTCCTGGTGAACTCTTGGCTAAGGGTTGAACAGTGAAGAAATTTCCCAGCCAGGCCTCTGAGCAGAGTTTCCTTCTGGCTGATGCTGCAGAGAAAAGGGGTTTTAATGGGTTCTTGTTTCTTTTACCTGCCAGGAACGTTTCCGAGCCTGAATCAGCTGCTGCAGCTCAGCCACCCTGGCCCTCCCTGCCAGCACAGACTCTGCTGCCTTCTTGTTCTCCTCCTCTTTCTCCCTCAGGACCCTCCTCAGGTAGGCCCTGTGCTTCAGCAGGTAGGGCACCATGGCACTGTGCACATCCTGCTCAGGGATCCCGCTGGGACGCCTGGGAACAAACTGGGGTGTGAGGCAGCCAGAGAGCAGCAGGGTTCAGAGAATGATGGGATGGGTTGGGTTGCAGGGACCTTAAAGATCATCCAGTCCCACCCCTGCATGGGCAGGGAC